CAGAAAAACTAATTTACTTGAAAACTTTAATAAGATTTGGCACTGCTTTCCTATATAAGCTGCTCAATATCATCCGTTTTATTTAAAATTTGTTCTTTAATTTATTTTTTTAATGCGGAAAGTAGTAGGTGGTATTTTTTTTATGAATTTCATGGTTGAAATTTACAAAGGTCACAGTTGTCTGGATTGGGTGTGTGACATATTATATGTATTCCGATGTATTTTCAATGTACTTTTATCACTGAATATAAATCTATAGTCAAAATTGGGACACAAAATATGGAAAAACATTTAATAACTGGCACAATCTTCAATCCAACGACTTTTCTTTTGTGGATCTGTGTAATGGTTCAAACACATACGTACTTCCAAAAAATAATTTATCATAATTTGATTCGAGTGTTTTTCAAAAGCGAAAATTTCTCAGGGCTGACATGAGATTTATAAAAAATTGCGATGTTAACTGAAAAAATGAATTTTCTAAATCTGTATTATTTTGCATGGTAAATGGCGAAGAAAACATTTAATGAAAACAGCTGTTTTGTTAACTTTGACCTATTGGAATCGCGACAATTCTCAATTTTTTCTTGCAATATTGTTGAACTTATATTTAAATTAACATTTATTTTATCAGGAAATGGTATTTCTGCAAGCAACAGTTTTTACCAGTATTTGAGTGTCAAGAAAATTAGCCTTCACATCCGTATTTGAAAAAATATTTAGAAAAATAATCTGTTGTTGAGAAATGCTTGGCGGGCCGCAGAAAAAACCCTCCGGCGGGCCGCGGGTTGCTCATCCTTGCGCTAGACGTATCCACTAGTATGTAATCAAAATGTTTTCTTCGCCGTACGTATTACAATTTCTCACAATTTAACGATTAAAAAAATGGAAAAAATATGATTATTTCGAATTAAGCTTAAATAATATATAGCCTGATCATGGGCGTGTCTGGGTATATGCCGCCCTTCAAAATAATATTTTAGAAAAATATCGAAATTTAATTTTTAACTTCCAAAAGCGGAAGGTAATGTTTTTAGGAAAAATCTGACTTGCTAATATTATGTTGTCTCGACATTATAACACATTCTTAAACGTTTGAGACCATATTTATTTGCTTGTGTGTGTGTATTTGGCCGATTTGATCTTTCGTCGATGTTTCTTCGAAAACCGATTTCAAAAGAACTCAATTATTAGTTTTTTTGTAATTATGAAAAGTGTAAAATTTTCATTTTAACCAAAAATCCTAAATCAATCTTAAAAATTCAAAAACTGTTCGAAATATATATAAATTCCAGTTCGAAAAATATATTGGTAGGGAATAGTACTAAATTTTTTTTGCTAAAGATCGGTAATTTAATTCTATGATTTTTGTGAAACTTTTATAACAATATTTGCAAAATAAACCTATTTATTATTATTCTAATATCTTTTGGAACAAACGCTTCAAAATCTGTTTTTTAATTCGACCGGCTTTCGGCTGCCTTTTAATTCAGCCGCCTTTTATTTCAATTGAGGTTTGATTTGACTACCTCTTAATTCGATCGCCTTTTAATTCTGCGGAATTTTAATACGACCGCTTTTTATTATAGTCGACTTTCAATCCGGTTCAATCCCTGGATCTGTCTTAAAATCTTTCTATATGCAGGGAATAAAGCAAGCTTGGAGAGACAGAAACAAAAATCACTTGTCATTTTCATATCATGAAATTTTATAATCAACAAATTGTTTATATTTTTATAAAAATGGAACTTATCTTCTATATATATAAATAAGTCGGGTTTTCCTTCCTGACGAAATAACTCCAGAACGCACGAACCGATTTCGACAATTTTGCATTCGTTGAAAAGGTCTCGGGCTCCGCAAGGTTTATAGCTAAGAAAATTAGTTGTGCATGGCATCGTGCCTTAATGCAAGCTGCTGGAACTTTACGCACCGTAATTAAAATTCGAGTAATGACATTAGTGAGAATTGTCTTGATTAAATTGATTTAAATATTGATTAAGAATCTCAAATTCAACTTATTTATTAAGTTTCTTATATTCATATTGACGGATTTAATCACAATTTAATTAAATAACTTTCAAATATGATTTATATTTACTATTTTTGTTTCATATTGTTGATGACTTACCACGAAGACTGCCAGAAAATTGCTTACTCAAGACCAAACAGAACCAGCACAAGATCACTACCGAATTGATGGATATTTTGCATAAATGAAGTGAATATGTGATGTGGAGAAGACTTTAGTTATTTGTTTTTTATTTTTAGATAGTTACTAAGTTATTACATTATTAATATTGTATTATATTGGTCCTTAATTAAGATCGAGTTAAGAGACGTTTCCACGCAAAATTTTCGGTCATTCCTTTTTTTTGCGATTGAGGTTTTT